TCATTCTTGTCCATGAGTTATGTTTTATAATCTACTTATCTAATGTTTAGCTATGTGCAGGCATCTAGTCAAATATGCCTGGTCAGGGTACTGTGCCCAAAGTCACATAGCCAAGAGGTTGGACATTTGAGATGTTCTTAATCTCCACGGCTTGTTGTCATTGTGGTTGTTACCTGCAGTGCAGAACCCATGGCGTTGCACATGCTAAGCAGTGCTTGACCACTGAGCAGCATCCCGGGTCCAGCCATATCTGAGTGTTATAATGCCTCCTGGTAGGCTCTGGTGATTACAAGTGTTCTTATGTATTTCCACAGCAGGCATAGTGTATCTTTTTAGTGGCTTAGAGTAGTACTGCCTTACTAAGACTCTGCACTGATCATCTGAGCTTATCCTGTCTCATGTACCCAACTGACAGTCCACCATTATGAAAGACTTGTAATGACAATATAGGAGAAAAACAAACAAACAAACAAACAATAACAATAAACTGTTTCTTGCTACCTCCAAAGAGCCAAAAGCTCTAGTTGAGAAGATCAAGCTTTTAGACAGGCAGACAATCAGCCTAAATGAATAACAATTTTAGGAGAGTTATAAATCTCCCAAAGATGGGCATTGCGGCATGACCCCAAGTATTCAAGGTCTGAGCTTTCCCATGAGTCACACCAAGATTCAGAAGATGAATAGCAGACTAAACTGTATCACTCTCACGTATACATGCTTTTGGATGGACTTGGTCCTCTGCAGCTGGCCATCATACCTGGGATGTTCACACCCTGATTGAAGTGCTGAGCAGAGGAATGATGCCCTCTAAAGCCCTTCATCAGTTTTCTCTGAAAGACCCTGAATCTGAAATGCAATGGGATATGGAATTGATTAAGAACTGAGCTTATGCTGTTCACAGTTATGTCTGATCTGTTTTAGTATTTTAAGTCAAGCTTGATCTAGTAAGTGAGTTCAAAAATATAACTCTTGGGATAATCCTTTCTAAGGATGCCCTGGCCCTGGGCTGAGAGGACTATAGCCAAGACAGCAATTTTTAACTTTTCCGGCTTCTAGTCTTCAGGAGTCTACTTAAGTCACAGGCCTGGCTCACTCTCCCCACCCCTATCCTGGCCCTGCATGTTATGAGAACTATTTCTGGTGACATCTTCCAGCCTCTGAGAACAGAGGTTGGAAAGTGCCTTGAAATGTGTCTGTTGTTGAGCATGCTTTGGAATGTATGCTTCTTCTTCTTCCTTTTTTATTTTTTTAATTTTTTGTCTCATGTAAACATGTCAATTTCTTCAAGAACAGAGAGCCCAGAGTCCTAAGAATATCTAGTGGCTCGCATGATAACACACACTGTTTGCTCCATTTTTGTAAAAATTGTTTTGGAGAACCAAATGGTGGCATAGGGGGTCTGACTTGATGAGCAACAGTGACATGGGCTTACTATTACTGTTTTGTGTTGCCTAAAAGCTGAGTCACACCCAGTGTGAGTGGATTAGTTACTTTTCTGTTGCCGCGATAAAACACCATGACCAATACATCCTGTAAAAAGAAAGACTTATCTGAGGCTTACAGTTGCAGAGGGTTAGAGTCCATGATGGCAGAGTGGAGGTAGCAGGTGTTGGGTAGCTGGAACAGCTGAAAGCTCACATCTCAAACTACAAACAGGAAGCAAACACATTTGGAAATGCTTTGAGTCTTCTGAAGTCTCAAATCTTGTCCTCAGTGACATACTTTCTCAGACAAAGCCACATGGCCCAATCCTCCTCTCATGGCTACCAATAATGGACCAAGCATTCAAATGCCAGAGACTTTTGGAGAATAGCTCATTCAAACAACCACTGAAAATCAAGCCGAACTGATCCCTGGATTCTGTCAGCTGGACCACACCCTCTACCGCACCGACTCCTCAGAATCCACAGCTGATGGGACACGTCCACAGGAATAGACTGGTGGACATGTTAAAAAGTGCACAAATCCTGGGAATTTGGAGTGTGCCACATGGCTGAGAACACAGCTCTCTATACAACTTCTTCTCCATCAACAGACTCATAAGGTTTGGGGCAAGCTGAGAATATTTTTCCACAGTTGCTGACGCTACTTAGAGAATCCTGTCTTGCTACCTGTGTCAGCGTCCACTGTTTCCAAGACCTGAACCTCCTGGCTCTCACCCATTGCTCTGAGGATTCTGGAGTAAACACTTGCCCTTTTACCTCTTTAGCAGTGCTCTTTCCAACTCTGTTCCTCTGGGCGCAGAGCCCGCCATAATCATCTCAGGACACATTTATATTGTGCTTTTTCGTCATTGCTCTGTAGAAGTAGGTATACTAACAACAAAAGTTGAAAAGCCACTCCATACCCAGAACGCTGGTAGTGTAACTTCAGTCCCTGTTACTTGCAAGAATGAGGCCAGAGAAGCATTTCACTCTAGGAGTTCAAGACCCACTTGGGAAACATTTTGCGTAGAGTCATTGTCTAAAGAAGAAAGAAAGACAAAAGTAAAATGGGAGAGAAGAATAAGAATAAGCAGAGGAGGAGGAGGAGAAAAGAGGGAGGAGGAGGAGTCAGAAGAGAGGGAAGAAGGGGGGATAATGCAGACAATGAGCTCCATTGTTGAGATGGATGTAGCCCTCAGTAGGCAGTAGGCAGGAGCCCTTTGGGACATTTCTGGGTATAATCATGTAGAGATGGTCCAGCACTTAGATCTATGAGAGTGCGTGGGGGAAAAATCAACTGACAAAACAAATTTCAATCTGCTGACATCATTCAGGCTTTGTTTATGCCACATCAGTAAGACCAGCTAGGAAAACAAAAGTTGAAAGAACTTGACTGTCAGAATGATGCCAAGTTATAGCTAGCCTCTTGGTGTTATTCTTTTTTTATTAGTTTAATAGCACAGTAAAATAATTACCCAAGTACCGTACATTACATAGCTTTCCTGCTGATAGAGATGAATGACCTCCACAGTTTTGCTTATACAAAACATGTCACCCCAAAATCCTTCTTATATTCAGCCTATTTCAAATATTCCCCAATAGAGTAAAAGACATCAAATGATTAAAAGATGTAGAATAATTAAATAGTACCTAATATGTATCCCCGGCAACAAGTTTAACATTCTGTTTAAGTGGCCATGGGCTCTGTTCACACCATTTCCAAGTGCCCAACATCTATGAATGAATCAAGTTCAAAGTTTAAAATGGCAACAATTAAGATGATTGATCCGTGGGGAAATTTTCATATTTCCAAAGTCACTGTTGGATACTCAAGCCTACAAACCAGTGTGGTCAATGGCCAGGAACACAGTCCAGGTCAGAAAAACTGAGCAGAGCAGGATAGAAAATACAGCTCGCTCTCCTCAGAAACCATTTCTGAGATTTTTTTTTTATTTTATTTTTATTTTTTTTGGTCTACACAGAGATTCTTTCATCTTCCAGATTTGCACACTAGGCAGCTGCTATGCCTGGTGATCCTGTGTTAATGCTGGAAAGACAATGATGACAAGAATGAAAACACATCAAAGGCTATCAGTAGCTTCACATTAAAACACCTGTGGCCAGCCCAGGGAAAAGCACCCGGAAGAGTGGGAGCTGTCCAATCCCAAGATCCGGCTAGGTTTTGAAAGTCTAATGACTGAGGAGCTGAATTATTGCGTTGTTCAAAAAGGCAAAATACCCTCTTGGGAAATCAATCATGTAGCTGAAGTGTTTTATTTAGGAAAAACACCAGCAGAGTTGAGTCAAGAAACGTTTTCCACTCCATCTGGTCTCATGTCTGCTCTTTATCCCAGTTTGAGGAGGAGGTGACCTGATGGTCATCTTTGGAGTCTGATAATGTTTTTTTTTTTTTTTGTAATTTGTTTTTGTTGTTTGTTTGTTTGTTTGTTTGTTGTTGTTTTTCCAAGGGAGAAGAGGAGGCCCTGGCAAGACCTTTGCCGAGGAAGGGCTTCCCAGGTAAATTAGCTCCAGGGCTGCCCAGTATGAGAGGACTGAAAAAGAAGAGAGAAAACTGTCTTGCCCTGGAATATAAAGTTCAAATATGAACTTGAGCAAACCACAGACCACAAATAAAAGCAGCTTCGTAATGGTTATTTACGCTGGGAGAGAAAAGCGACTAAGAAGGGACCATGCAGGTTTCTATGAAATTTCTCCGATTTCAACAGGCCTAACGGAAAAGGGTAGCAAAGAGAAAGGACTCCTGCAGTCTACACCCTGTGCTGGATAAGTAGGGACCACGTACAAGGCTTTGGTGGTTCCCAGAGGTGCCTAGGCATAGGCTGGTAGTAGTTTGCAGAGCACGCTGTGTTCTCAAGAGAGCCTGGCAGCAGTTTCCCAGAACTCAACGCCCTCCAACCTCCTCTCCTCTGTTTCATAAGTTCGCATGCGAGAGCGCACCCAGCCCCCAATTTTTTAAAACCCGCTTCGCTGAGATCCCACTGAAAACCTAAGTCCTGAAGAACTTCACTATTCCCTTGCAAAATGACCTCTACAAGTGGAGTGGAGAGGAAGAGCCCAGAGCTGTCCAGGTTGAATGGCACTCTACACTGCCTTCGAGCTAGAATTCCTGTGACGGTGCCACAAGCTGCATTGGCCTAGCCCAACGGTCTCAGCTTTCACAGAATGGGGAGTCCTGGAGCAGAAGAACAGGAAAAGGGGTGAAACAGAAAATGTGGAGGTGTGCCCAAGCAGAGGGGAAAGGCGGGCCTTTGAAGGAGGAGGATGAGAAGGCTAAGGAGCTCTGGAGGAAGTAGGAGAGGAGTGGGAGGAGATAACAAGGAGGCGCGGAACCTTCAGGCTGGAGGGAAGACGGAGAAAGCTGAAGAAGAGGCGGGACTTGAGGAGAGGCTGCAGCGACGCCCCGCCCCTCCCCGGCCCCGCCTCCGAGCCGCCCGGGGCGCTCAGCAAATATGAAGAGACTCTGCCGCGGCGGGAGCAGCGGCCACTGCATCTCCGAGCTGTGCGCGCCGCGGCCGGGGCGGGCCTCGGGACTGGGGCTGGGAGCCAAGAAGCAGGGGCGGGACGAGGAAAGGCTGGGCTGCGGTTCGGGGCCCCGCTCGGACCGGGGCCCGACGGCGCCGAGGGAGCGCGCGCCCCGCAGTCCCGCGCTGCGCCCGCCGGGTATGGGGCGCGCCGCCGCCTGAGGTCGGGCCTGGCGGGCGCCCGCAGGGGGTTGCGGCCGAGAAGCCGAGTGCTCCCCGCACCGGAGGGGACCTAGGGCGCGCGTGGAGAGGACCGAGACGGACTAGAGAAAGGCCCGGAGGAGTCCGGAGATGTCCCGTGTGCGCCGCCTCCTGCTGGGCTACCTGTTCCCAGCCCTCCTGTTGCATGGTAAGTTCGGGGGGGTGAGTGAGCGAGTTGGGGGTCCAGTCCTCCCAACGCCCCGCAGACGACCGTGGGAGAAGCGCCGGTCGCTAGGTTTACAGTCTGCCCGTTTGCCCCATCCGGCTGGTGCTCGGAACTCCTTCCCCCAGCGGCGCCCACAGTGGATTTTGCTGCTGCAGTATTCTTTCTGGAAGGATGCGAACCTCGCCCAGATACTTTTTATCTCTCACATCCGTAGCTGCACGGTTGGGGGAAAACTTCTTATCCAGTCCGTGGGCCTTTCCAGCTGTAAACTGTCAGGAAATCTCAGGCTTTGCGGTCCCCTTTCCACCAGTGTCAGAGCGCGGCTGGGGCACTTGGTGAGGTCCTGGCCTTTACGAGACTGTAAAGAGAAAGCTGGAGCTGGTTTATGGGGAGGACACGTCTCGCGGATGTTTGTCTGCCGTCTGAGGACCAGTGTTTGTAGTCCGCCTGCACCTTGGCTCCGCACTGAAGCTTAATGTGCTGCTGGGCTCTCTGGGCGCAAGGGGACTCTTGGTAGCGGGTCATGAAAGCCAGAATGAAGGAGCTGGACGCCCAGATCCCTCAAGCTGGTGTAGGATCAAGTCTTTGCTACTTGCGCTGGTTCTCCAGAAAAAAACAAAACAAAAACAACAACAAAAAAATTTAACCAGACATCTGCACCCCAAAGGGGTTCCGGAAATTGCATAGCGCAAAATAAGACAGTTGCATTGTGGTGGACAAAGCATGTTTTATGACAGGTGGTTGTTGATAATTGTGACAGGCGGTGGCTTGGTCATTCTGTTGTCCAGAGCGGTGGTCAGACACTTGACGTTTCAGTCGAGTGACTTCACTGCTCTCCTTTCTTAACATCCACTGAAACCACTTGAACCTGCAGCTGCAGCTGGCCCAGTTGGGGCCTTGAGTGTTAGCGAGCGCTAACCCCTCCTCTCCCCACCCACTCCCCGGCCCCCCTCGAATCGAGGGAAGGGATGGGAACTGAAGGCTTCTCCTGTGCTGTTTTCTTTGTAGTCTTTGGGAAAGCTTTTGACGTTCCCCCAGGCTTTGTGAACCTGGCTACCCAATTGATTGCCAAGGTGTACACCGAGCCCCAGCATCTTAAAAGTCAAGATGGGACGCTTGCCGTTCCAGGGCAAGAGAGAGAAGGTATAATTATAGGGTTGGCCTTCTAGGCCCATCTGCTTAGAATTACAGAGCAGTTTTAATCTTTGGCTGAAACATGAAACAAATCAGAGCCAATGAGCAGATCAAACAGCAGCTGCCACACACACAAGAAAAAGGAGAGGATGCAACAGGCAAAATTGCCCCCTTGTTCAAAAAAGATATTGCTGGTATTATTCTTGTAATATCTGTAGGGGGAAAAAAAAGATAGTAGTACTGTCAAATTAAGAGTTACTTAAAAGAGTCATATCCGTAGACTATTCTGCATGGAATCATTGCCAGTTGAACTTCGGGGACCATCTTCACAAATGTACCATGCCCCCCCCCCCCATGAGCCCTTCCTCCCTCTTGAGAAACAGGGGTTGTGATAATATGCCTGCTTACCAATCCAACTGAGACTAGAAGAGCTGGTAGATATCAAGAGCCCATATATACAAGTGTGTCATTTGGTCCAACGTAGCCAGAAATCTCCCACATTTAAGTCAGGAGTCTGTGATTACTCCTTGGGATCCGGGGAAGTCTCCCCAGCGATGCCAGGAGATGAACAAGACAGAGGGAGTAGCTGCAAGAGGCAGTCTGAGCTGTGAGCAGGAACAGGGCCAGAGAGCATGTGTGTGTGTGTTTATGAGAAGAACTTAAGATAAAAAGGGAGCTTTGGAAAGCTTAATTGGACATCCTGATAAGCCTTCACAGAGTAATGCAACTTCACGTTGAGTTTGCAATGATGCAGTTATTAAAACAGAAGTTGCCCAAGGATCTGTCTACGTAGATCCAAGAGGGAGTTGTGGGATTCGATGCAAGAAGGAAACAGAAGGGGTACTTAGTTATTCAAGTTGCAAATGCTCCTGGTCTAAGAAAGGCTGGTATAAAGCACCAGAAGGAATTTTAAATCCTTCCCTGCCCCAATTTTTATGTTAGTAAAGTATTTTTAAACAGAAAAGGGTATTAATGAACTTAACCCAAGAGAGTGGCTTAGTGAGATAGGGATTTTATAGGCTTTTCAGAAATGCTGTGGCAAAAGCTAGAGCCTGCTCAGTTACTTAATAAAAGGCACAAGTCAGAGAGAAATCCTAGAATGGGTTAACAGTGTCTTTCCTGATATGTAGGCATTTGATTGGCTAACCATGCGATACCATTTGACTATTTATGATAGCAATTTTGTAGATAAAAACAAGTGTTGTAAATGTACTTGTGGCAACTTTAATATATGTCAGTCTGTCTATATGGAAGATCTGCTGAATGGACAGTTGAGGTTAATGAGAAAAACACAGAAGGCTTTCTGGAGGACCCGCATGAGGATACTGGTGGCAGTGCCATTATGTGTGGGATCTAGTCTTTGTTCAGTTCTGTAGCCACTTTGATTTCAACTCATTAGAAGTCATAAATCACCCCTCAAATCCTATCAGTAAGTAAATTAGCTCTCACAGGACCTGAGACTTTTTTCTTTTTCTTTCTTTCTTTTTTTTTTTTTGCTTTTATTCTTTTATACAACTGTAAATACAGTCTGAGACCCAAGTTCAAAGTGTGACGCATAGAAGTGTGCCTGTCGCTCTGCTTTCCTCCCCCTCAGATTCTGCAAACAACTGCACTTCTTAATCCAAATAAAACCTCTTGAGTGTCGCAAAGGTGCGCAGCTGGCATCTATCCATTATCACTATTTTCTTTGCTGAAACGCAAAGGCAGATACGTTCACGTGTCAAATGTTAAGACTCACTCAGCTCTAGACACAGACTAGCAGGAATGTTTGCAGGGTAAGTGTGGCTACGCTGACAGTAGGTCCAGCAAGTTTCCTTGGTGGAGCAGATGCTGCGAGAGAGGTCTTTCTCAAATGCTGTTTCCTGTGTAGAAGCTTTTGCCTTCTCAGACAAGTGGAGACCTTTGTACTTCTTCCCTTTGATTCTGCTTCTTCTGTCAGTTGTTCAGGAGCCGAGGAGGTGGCTTGGTTGGGAAAGGGCTTGCTTGCCTTACAAGCAACAGGACCTGAGTTTGATCCCCAGAACCCACATAGCATACTTGCCATCCCAGTGCTGGTGAGGTAGAGACAGACACATCCCTGATCAGCCAGGGTAGGCTGCCTGAACAGTGGGCCAGAGGGAGAGACAGATAGAGACAGAGACAGATATAGAGATACACAGAGACACAGCAAGAGAGAGACAGAGAGAGAAAAGTTAGATGGTATCTGAGGCTTCACACCGAGGTTGTTTTCTGGCCTACACACACAGGAATACAGCCATGTGAACCTACACACACACACACACACACACACACACACACACACACACGATGAGGGGAGAGGGGAGGGAGGGAGGAGGGGGGTTGGATTTTTAAAAACTGACAATTGCAAATCAGTGCTCGACCAACAAATTTCAAGAAAACATTTAAATGGAGCACAACACGCCACTTTACTGACAATAGTCTTTGTAACCAACAAAACATTTTCTTCCCTGTTCCTTTTCCCTCCTTGGAGTCTTTCCCTCAAATGGAATCTTGAAAAGAATCATGACTTATTTGTACACAGTAGGGGGCAAAGACCTTGGACAGATGTTGAATATTCTCTTGTTAAATGGATGGGCTTGCCTCACACGTGGCTGACGAGTTCTGTGATCATGTGCGTTCCTTCTCCCTAAAAGATAAGAGAACTAGGCCCAGGTCGGCGATGTGGCCAAGTAGCCGCAGACTGTTTAGGGACACATGACAACTGATACAGGCAGAGCAAATCACAGTAGAATTAAGAGCAGGGACAGGAGCAGGCATGATGGTGTGTAGTGGCTCAGGATGCGCGGGGCGGGTGTGCTTGCTGCAGGAGTGAGCACAGAGGAAGCTTCGGGAAGACACCGGCCACCATCTGCCAAGACTGTGTCATGTGTCCACACCAGAAGAGGGCACCAGATCTCACTATAGGTGGTTGTGAGCCACCATGTGGTTTCTGGGACTTGAACTCGGGACGTTTGGAAGAGCAGATAGTGCTCTTAACCACTGAGCCATCTCTCCAGCCCCTGCTACTGTGTCTTGCTGGGCTGTCCCCAGCTTCAGAGTGAATTATTCTGGAAAACGGAGTGGTAGGTATATGAGCGATGAGAAGGGATCCCTGTGAGAGATCAGTAGGTATGTTCTGTTCTGTTAAGTGCCCTCCAGTTTTGTTCATTCAGCTAGTCATTGTTCAAAAAGTTTAGCTGGGAGTCCACTGCCTTCGTATGACACTGCCCACTATGTGTGGGGCTGAGGAGGGAGTTTTCCCTTTTCTTGAGAATTCCCGAAGAATATCTAGTGATAATGAAGTGATGACACTGTGAACCTCCCATCCAGTAGGGTGGCCCACTGTGGGTCATTGTACTAGTCTGCTTCGGGGAATCCCACACATGTAACACGCACACACACACCAAATAACATGCATAAACATGTACCATTACAATATACATACATGTCGCCCATACAAACATGCTCCATGCACATAAACATACTTGTATATTGCACACACACAAATACCATATATAGCACAAAGATCATATCACACAGATACATAGACACACATACCACAGATGTATATATGGTACAGATATCATAGTTATGATATACCAGAAACCTCACACAAACACCCACATATACCACAAATACCACATACAAACATGTACTATAAATACATATCAAATATTTATCATACCCATATACCACACACAGTACACACATATATGCTGCTCAAGCATATATCACGTATATGTGATATACACATAGAGGAAGGACTTGTTCGTCTCGTCAACCCATATCCAGTCCTAAGGCCTTAGTAGCTATTAAAAGATGCCCAGTAAAATCAAATGTAGACAGAA